TGTTAGTTCCTCTTTAAAGGTTTTGTAAAACTCTGCTGTATACCCATCCGGTCCTGGGCTTTTCTTAGTTGGTAGTCTTTTGATGGTTTCTTCTATTTCCTCTATTGTTATTGGTCTGTTTAGGTTGTCAATATCCTCCTGACTCAATTTCTTGCCGATTTTTGAACCAGCTGTTAAATTCCTTTTGCAGCTTTAATTATACTAGTTCCTCTGCTTGTCACACCCCTCTTTTCTTTGGCAGGAAACTCAAATGCATCCCTTGAAATATAATGTGAAGTTTCTGTTTTATGTGTGATATACTTTACTGCTGGCTTAAAGGGGATAATGGTATGTTCCTCAGAGTGGTCAGGATCAAAAGCTGAAATACCTGAAAGTGTTTAGTTTCTAATACCTAATAAATGTGCTTAATAAATGTTAACTGTTGCTTCTGTTATTGTTCATTGTTTACATGTCAGAATCCATTGTGAAATCTTAGAAGTTTTTGATTTTTAATACAAAAGTTTTTCTTTAAATGAAGAAATAGTTCTTTCACTACTGAGTCTTCATCATTGATTTAGTGCTTCTCATTAGGGGTATTTTAAATGACTCATTTAATTCTTTTAACATTGCAGAATGAAGATTTATTAAATGAAATGAAAMAACTTAAAGAAGAAATAAGRAAAAAAGATGAAAAAATACAACTATTAGAACATCAACTTGTAAGTATTATAGTATAGAATTTAAAATGGAGACTTCCAAATTGGTCAATATGTGGCTTTTATAAGACAGCCAGAATTAGAGTTTGACTTTATTTTGGGCTTTCAAACTTATATAATTGCATTATGTTTAGATTATATATGCTTTAATGAAAATATAATGTTAAATTTTGTCTAAATATGAAATATGCTATCTGAAAAATTCTTCCTTGATCCATTTTTGGTGGCCTCTGTTTCTGGGATTTAAGATACACCAGTTTATATTCATTTATTGATTCATTTCAAGAAGTAAGTACTTGAAGTTGAGAATAAGAACTTTCTCTCTGAGCGGAATGACACTGGTTATTTAAGCTTAAGTATTAGAGTGAAGGAGATTTCTCTATGGATGATGAGTGAAAAGTATACTTTCAGTATACTTTTATAATTGTTAATAATTTCAAATGTTAATCCCATATAAAAACAGTATTTAGGAGCTGGGGTCGTGGCTCATCGGTAGAGTGCTTTCTGGCATGTGCGAGGCACTGGGTTGGTTCAATCCTCAGCACCACATAAAAATAAAAATAAACTTCCAACTACAACTAAAAAAAATTTTTTTAACGATATTTATGGCACCTTGAATGCAATTATAATGCAACTTATATAATGTAAAAGACCAGGATAAAAATAACATAATGCATAAAAGCCAAAACAAAATAGAAATATTAATTGGAAGGGAAAATATATATTTTGGGTATAGCAAAGCATTTGAGCAATATGAAATATTAATCTCTAAATATATAGAAGATATAATGTAATAAACTCTGAGCCACTGAGGTCAGGTTACAGAGATAAAAATTTATGAGTGTCTAGAATATACAGATAAAATACTATGATTAAATGTACAAGGAAAATTTCTGAATCTCAATAAAGAATAACCTAATAATTCAAACTTAAGTTCTCCCAAATATGAAAGTAGAAAGAACAATAAGACCTAATATTTAAATTTCAAAGACAAGTATCGGCTAACTTTCAGGGAAGGAGAAAAAAGAAGGCACTTAGATTAAATAAATTTGCAAAAATTTATTACAGAGTACAAGAAATTGTTGTGTCTAGTACGCTCCAGAGAACAGGTTGTGTACCTACTATTTTAAATACATCTGGACAGTTTTTATTTATACATAAARGTAAACTTTCATAACTTTAATATCTTGAAAAATAAGTCACCAAGTCATCTTTATAGGCTTAATTATAGTGTACTCCAAATACTTGAGCGATAAACAGAAAAATAACTCAAGAATAAGGAGATAAAGATTAAAATGAATGAACAGGGAAATGGAAATCATCTTTAGAGAAACTGAGTTTTACAAACTTCTGAACCTTTTATTGAAGAAAGCTTAGTGCTCATTATTTTGTTTTACATGTTGTACATCATTTCAATGTTGGAAATTGCTTGAATTTATAAATCTTTGATTTTTGTGAAAATAAAATAATTTTAAATTCTAAAAATTGTAAATTACTAATGATTTTTGAAGAGATTTAGATAAATAAGTTTCAGGAAAGAAATAAGGGAAGGAAATCAGAAAGAGATAAGGGAAAGAAGTCAGACATACTGAATTTTGTACTTCTACAAATGAGTGCTCAAGTTATTCTTTATTTTATTTTACTGTACTTCAGTTATAATGTTTGTGACATAGTTTGAGACAGTTAATAGGTTGGAATAGTGTACAGAAAATGATGAAATTAAAAGGGATATAAAGAAAATCTCAGATCTGCAAAACTAAGGCAATAGTAATTAGACCAAAAAAATATGATTTTAAGTACAAATGGTTTTACTTCATGAAAAGAGTTTCATTRAGGATTTAAAGCAAAGTGTGTAGTAACTTGCTTTATATACAGGAAATTTAGGTAAATTTTTGACATTGATAAGGCTGAATATAAAAGGTTGGGAGACAGAGTAAAATTATCCTCACCCAAAAGTGCAGTATTAAAATTAGAAAAGTAAGTTTAATAATGGAAAAATAACACTTTATCTTGATTCATGATTAATAAATAATAGGACAAATCTTCTTATGCTGTTTAGTTTTTTAAAAGTATTCTCTTATCCTCTCCTTGGTTTATATACCCAAAGGACTTAAAATCAGCATACTACTGTCACATCAGTATTTATAGCAGCTCAATTCACAAGCTAGACTATGGAACCAACCTAGGTGTCCCTCAATAGATGAATGGATAAAGAAAATGTGGTATATACTCAATGGAATATTACTCAGCTTTAAAGAAGAGTGAAATTATAGCATTTGCCAGTAAATGGTTGGAGAATATCATGCTAAGTGAAATAAGCCAATCYCACAAATCCAAACACCTAATGTTTTCTCTAATATGCAGATGCTAATTCACAATAAGGAAGGGGGGAACTAGGGAAGAATAGCGTTACCTTAGATTAGGTAAAGGGAAATGATGGGAGGAGAGGGAAGAATATGTGGGAATAGGAAAGATAGTAGAATGAAACAGACATTATTACTGTATGTAAGTAATATGATTCTGCAGCATGTACACTCAGAAAAATGAGAAATTATATCCCATCTATGTATATCAAAGTACATAAATGCATTCTTCTGTCATGTATAACTAATTAAAACCATATAAAAATTTTTTTAAAGTATTTTCTTAACTTTAGTATGCATCTTTAAGAAAAATGAACAGGTCTCTTTATAGTTGAAACAATATTATCTATCATCTTTAAGCAATTAATAGAAATTCCTTAGTATTTTCTAGCATCTAGTTCATGTTCATATTTTCCTACTTCTTCCCAAAATATCCAGTACATTTGATTTGTCCAAACTAAAATCAATTCTAGGACCATGTGTGACAACTGATTATTATATCTTTTAAATCTCTTTTAATTTAGAACCATTGTTTTTGTTATACTTGTGAAGAGAAAAGAAYCAGCTGTCCTGAACAATATCTCACCTGAAAATAATTGTATAAAGATTTCAGAAATATGTAAGAGAATCTCAAAGAAAGAACACAAGAAAAGTGAAAGCATTAGACTTTAGCAATATATACCATTGAATTCTCAATTTGATATATTGAACCTAGAAATCACGTTTATTGTGAATCAGCTAAGTATTGTACACAGTTTTTTTTTTTAAATATAGATTACTCTAGAGACTGTGTGCATTCAGCTAGAAACTCCCCCTTATAAACAYATCAGAATCACATCAGCCCATTTTCAAATTTTAGGGGAATTGTGGCCTGTATCAAGAGAACTTTTCGAAATTTACTTGACAGTTCCTGTTCTTGAATATAGAGACAATGTTAGTGTTTTCTCAATATATAAATTTAGCCAACTGAATGGATTCTTTTTTCTTATTGCAAGCAGCAATGCTCTGTGAATTGAATGTCTTACTAATTGAGTTTTAAGGGGCTAAGTGTCTCACCCACCGCCACCTGTTTGGTAGTAAGAAATGAGAAGTCATTCAGAAAAATTACCAATAGAATAACATGGTTTAGTTATGGACCTTGTTAAAAACAAAAACATTTATGAACTCAAAGTAGATATAGGAAGTGGTATATTTCACATTATCAAAGTTAAAATGGTCTTCTATTTATATTTCTTTATTTTCTTTCTTTATATCTCCAAATAGCTTTTTTAAAAATAGGATAAAAAGTGATCAAAAAAGCTATAGAGAGGAATTAGAGGACTTTTCTTAGTTCCAATATGAATCAGCTGAATGACAGSCAGTTTTCCTTGGTTCTGTAGCTCTTTATTTAGAATGTGAAGATTTTTCTTGTTAGTTTCAAAAGTCCCCTTCCATTTCTAGCATTCTGTGCTTTTTTGTTTTTGAAAAAAATGTATTCAACTCTAACCTATGTTTGCATGAAGATTTTCAGAAGCATATAATGACARTATGAAGTGTTGAATTCATATTTTATGTGAAATATGCTGATGTAAAATCAGATTTGCAGTGCTCTGAGAATGTAACAAAAATGTATAGAAGATTGTCTGTTTAAATCTAATTTTAAAATGCCAAGAATTACCAGTTTATTTTCACCTCAGAATACTAGTTAAATAGTAGATAATTTACATATATATATGCTCATTTAACTTTCATAATAATCTTGTGAAATTGCTAATATTGAATTTTCTTTCTTTATGGAGACACAGAAAGTGGTACTCAGGTTAAATGGGTTAACAGTATTTTTAAAAAACCATGATAGACCCAGATTCATATCCTAGCTTTGAAATTTGATAGCCATGTTCTCTTCAGGAAGTTATATAATCTTTCCTAAGCCTCATCTGTAAGTGGGTATAATAGAAGTAGTACAGACACATAAGTTTGGATTGTTAAATTAACTACATATGTAAACTAATGCCTGGCCCATGGGTGTATGATAAAGATTAACTCTTACCAAATGACTTGCTGCAAACTACTTGGCATAAATCAATGCATATCTTATGATGTTTCAAGTTTGCAGTAAAAGCCCMCAACTAAAAGCAGCTTTAAAAAATAATTAAATTTGTAAACTCAAATAACAAAAAAATRTATGGGTCCCATCCATTTCCGTGGTTGTTTATTCGTCATTTGGTTAATAATGAAGTCTAGGTTGGTTTTTCTGGAGTCCTCTTGTCTGCCCCTTCATGGATAAAAGATTTCTACAGTAGCTTTTTATGTCATTCTCTCACACAGTAATAACCAATTTTGGGTAAAGGTCTGTTTTCTCTAGCATATGTATTTTTTAAATCAGGAAACACTTTCTCAGAAATACCATCAGGGTTTTTGGCTAGATTTTAGTTACTTGCGTAGAACAAATGGATTAACTATTTTGGTTCATACTTACCAAGATGTGGCTCTTTGGAGCAAGAGATAAGGCACACCTCTGCAAATAAAGGATCACACAGGAGGTGCGACTCTAAACACAAATTAAGATCTGTCAGCAATAAAGGAGACAGATGAAGAGGGAATTATTTAGGTAGTCATTTTGTATCTGTTAAAATGTCACTAAAAACTAGGCTTTCCGAATTATGGAAAATTTAATATTTTCTAAGCATTATTTTTTCATGTGTTAGTAGATAAACCACTGAAAGGATATTTCTGGAATTGCTGTTGTCAAGGTGAATTAAGTAATGTACTTGCATTATAATAAGTGTTTTATATTATATTGTCTTTTTTTTGCATACCTGCCAGGTATGTTAAAAGTTAAGTCCTATTATAGTGAATTTTATACTACATTTTGTTTCAATCACTATCCCATTTTGGGGGAGAATAGAAAATAAGCGTGTCCTATAGAAGATTTTGTTTTTAAGTAGAAACAAGTTTACCTTGATACAGTAATCTAGAATTTCTTTGGTTTTCCTATGAGAAAATATATTTACTTTGAATGGGATTGTTTAACAAACAATGTAGGTATGTTACAGCTTCACAATTAAGGGGAAATTTTTATTATCATCTTTTTATTTATTTATTTTTAATTTGATGATAATTTGAGAGACCTAAAAATACACAAGAGGTATGTCCTATCATATAAGTGAGTGCTTTAAGTGGAATCATGTAGAGAATTAATTTATGAATTGAGAACATCAGGGTATCTTGTCACAGGGTGGAATCCTTTAAAATATTCTTGTTCAGTAAAGATTATACATCATTTGGGGGGCTTTAAGCAGTGTAAGTAATGAGTAGACAGTCTGACATGTGGGCTGTTGACATTTGATATCCTGTAGAGTGATTACTTATTTGTGTGTATATGCATTAAACCATTGTAAAAATTTTTGGTTTTGTTCAGGCAACCCGGTGTAACTGCCACCAAAAATCTAAAGAGGAAAAATGCTCATATGCTGATAAATATACCCAAACACCCTGGAGAAGAATTCCTGTAAGTGACATGCTGTTAATCTTCTCTCATGTCATTTGTTATTTTGATGTCCCATCCTGCTCTTTTTTACTCTAATCACTAATAATTTTGAAATGCCATGGCTAATTTTCTTTCTTAGGTAAGTTTTTTCTTGTCTCTTAGATGTTTATGTGCTTTCTAAAGCTTCTCTTGTGTGTCCTATATAAGCGAATGTGCATTTAATAGCTTTTCCATTCTGCATATTGTAGCTCATTTTATTTGAGTGTCTATTCTCCTTTCATTGCATGTTTTTATGAGAGTAGTATTTTCAAATGGCCTAAAAAAAATGAAAAACAGAAGTCTAATATGCATTTAATTTTTTTGAGCAGCATATGACACTTTGAGGATATATGATGTAACATATTCCTTTTGTTGTTGTTGTTCTTGAAACTTTTACAAATTTATTGTAATTACTGAAAAAATATTGAGGGTATTAGGAAGTTTAATGCATGAAGACATAACTAGTAAAAGTGAAGTTTCAGGAAGAGTTACGGTCTAGATTCCTAACAATAGGAAGTAACCATCTTCCTTATTTATTTTTCAAAAAATGTTATATCTCAAAACACATTCATTGCTAAAAATATCCTGACCATCCCTTAAACTTAGTTGAGGATGTTCCTGAGCCAGAGAATTATTACATGACCATCAGTCATCATTATCCTCTGTATGATGCCAGGTAATAGACATTTCTTATTAATAGAACACCTGGTACACCAGCCTTGACTTTTATTTTGCCTTATATTTAGCAGCAGAATCCTGGTAACACAAATGAATCGGGATAGATAATGGTTATTGTAATCAACAATTCAATTTAGAATTCTTAACTTTTTTTATAAAATAGTTATTTTCTTTTCATCTAACAAGTAATTATTTTTGTGTGCTTTGTATAAGGTATAGTGGAAGAATTAATTTATTTGGCAAAGTTTTGTAATCATCTCTTATTCTAGATAATAAGCTCTTGAAGTAGAAATGTGGAATAGGGGAAGGAAGTACACAGATACATAGGTATTATTCCATTTATAAGTACTTTTTAAAAGGAACTAGTGATATACTGATTCAAACTGCTGTACATTCTATGATGGCAGAGGATTGGGAATGTCTTAGTGGAAGAATCAAAAAGGTTGAAGAAGAAGATCAAGGTAGTGTTTGAATCATAGAAAGTAAAAGATGCCATGAGGTGAAGATGATATATTTTTTTAATGTCAAAGGATATGGAAACTTATTGTTTGGAGGCAATTGCAAAAATAAAAGATTGTACCCCCTTGCTTAGGTTTCTCCAGTTACCCCAAAGGGAGGTTTATGTCTTCTGATGTGTTACTAAATAAAGTGGCAATTCCATTAAGCATGAGAAGTTCCCTTTTACGGAAGTTCTTTATATTATTTTGCCTGGCTCCCTCAACCCCTGGCTTGAGTTCTAGAAACTGGATATTTGTCAGCCTCCTCACTAGACAAAAGTAATTGGTATATACCAACCCAGTTTGGGTTGAAATGAAAGTCAGTTTTCCAAATTAATACTCTTAAAAAACCCAGAATTCAGTTTTATCTATTATCTATTATGTAAAGAATCACCTAGCTAAATATTTTGTTTTGTCTATAGATAATGTAACAGACTCCAGGGAGATTAAGTGCCCTACTAAAGATTTTGTAGTAAATAAAGTGCTGAACTAGTACTATAATTCAGGAATCCTGACTGCTAATCCAAGATTCCTTTTAATAAAAGCACACTGAGGATCCCTAGAGGGTGAGAGATTTTACAGATTAAAATGGTAGAAATATCTAGCAAAATGAATAGTAAAAGTAAAGGCAAAGAGGTAGAAAGGAGTAGTTAGGCAATAGTTAGTATAGAAGTGTATGTTTGAGGAAATAATGAAAATTTGTTAAAAGCTTATTTTAGTATAGAATGGAAAATTTTAATCCAGAAATTACTGTAAATGTAGTTTTACTGAGCTTTATTTATTTTATTAAATAAATAAATATTTAGCCAAATAAAAATRATATTTACTGAAGTAGTAATTTTTAACTATTAAATATTGTCTATCTGATTTTTCTTTTGCTCTTTGGGCAGCATTGGAAACCATTTACTATAATTACAATATTATATTTTCTTAAAAAGTTATACTTTAAATGTTTTCTTTAGCAATTACCCAACATATTTACATAAGATTTTGGTAATGGAGATATGGAGATGCAATGTGGGTCTTCTTTTGCAACTTTTAGTTTGTTAGGCAATAATCTTTGGAATGAAAACATGTTATTTAAAAGTCCTCAAGCTTAGTAAAACTATTTTTTTAAATCTGTCTAAGCCTTTGAGAAGGTTACAAGTTATAATCTTCACCCTTTCTTATGATTTCTAAGAAAATTTAAATGTGCTTCTCAGCATTGTCTTAGTCATTTGATTATAGAACCTATATCAGAGATTGATGAGGGACTTGTGAGGATTTCCTCTGAATGTTTTCTATATATGTAGGAAGAAATCTGGCTGCAGAAGGTTGGGGAAGAAGATCAAGGTAGCGTTTGAATCATAGAAAGTAAAAGATGCCATGAGGTGAAGATGATATATATTTTTTAATGTCAAAGGATGCAAATGGAAGGTGGAAAGAAGTGTTGAAGGAAAGAGGGTTGCTGCTTGTAGGACTTACTGGCAGCCATTTAGGAAGTAGAAAGAAATAAAAAAAGAAAATAAGCCAGAACCTCAGTCAGAACCTGCTTGAGGAGGGAGAKTGATTGTCCACCAATGGTAGCAAAACAATAGAAATTTAGATGTATTGAATACAATGTAAATTTCCATTACAGATTTATTCAGAGGAATTTTGATACTCTCTAATGACTACAAATAAGATCTCTAAAACAGAAAATTAATAGGAAAGAAAGCATTAGAATAGAGGAAAGGAAGAAAAGCAGATTTTCACTTACTCCTTGAGCAGATATTTGTGTGCTTCTCAAAGCCAAGCACTGTCTTAATATGGCAGTGTGAGTGTGAAGGAAATACAGGCCCAATCCTCAAGATGCTTATGGAAACTTCTAGTATGCCTAAAATGGTATTAATTTTGTTCTTTTCCTACATGAAGAACATAACACTATGAAAAGACCTGTGCAAGTACTTGAACAACTTTTATACAGCTGTATTATATGAAAATCAAGATTTTCAAACTTATGGGTAGCATCTTATTTCCCTTCCTGTTCAGTAGTTACAGGAGGTGAGGTTAAAAGGAATAGCGAGAATAAGGTCATAGCTCTGGGAAGGAAGGACAGAGGCTTGATATCAGTGAGAGATCACAGTAAGGACTTCCCTGAGAGAGAAAAGCTTTTTACCTGGTGTGCCCTGTGTGGTAGAGGTCTTAACTCTGTATTATAATGATCCATAGAAACATTCTTGTAGTATTTAAATTTTCTGGGAGAAAACTATTCATGGTTGAGAAGACATATTTTCAGTAAGAGGGTAAAAGAAAAATCTCCCACAAAATTGAATCCAGTGTTAGTAACAAAACAATTTATTCACAAAATAGATTGTATATCATTTTCTCAATGGAAAAAATGATGAACTTCAATGACTTTTCTTAAAGGAATGAAAACCCTGGCTTGCATGACTGTGAAAATTTAGTATAGGAATTAACACACTATTAGTATGGGCGTGAAAAAGTGCCCACCAATTAAAACTCAGAATGTGCAATTGGATCTAATACTACTTTTTTCTTGTGTTTTAAGAACTAACTCTATTATGTGTAGCAAAGAGACAAGGAAAGATGATTTATATACATTTCAAAATACTGTATTGGAAACAGTTTCTAGTATTGTATCAAACATTAGATCATATGATAGATATATACATGTAATTTATATCAATTCAACAGTTGAATTATGGTGAGTATTATCAAATATTATTTGTGCTTAGGGTTGGGTTCTCATGCCTCAGATTTATTGAGTCAAGTATATTTTCATTATAACTTTATAAAAGATAAAATCAGAAAATTATTACTGATGTATCATAAAAACCATATTATATTTATAATTTCCAGAGGAAAAAGAGTTTACTTGCTTCCTAGCAATTGTGATAATTTTAATAGCAAGAAGTCCTTATTTTTATTTTYATTACCTGGGAAATAGGATAGCATGCTAACTAAAGGGAACAAGGTAGCCCAATGATATTTCGCGTGACTAGTCTGTTCTAAATCCTTTTTGTTTTAGAATATATACTTTCCTGATTTAGAATAGATTAGTTTTTATGTGGGAAAATTTTTCTGATTTTAAATTTAGATGTGCCATTTTTCCTCCATTTGGAGATATGTCATATTATTATTCACATGCATATTTAATATATATATTCATATTTGGAGATAGAAAAAATAAATTAAGAGATTTATTTCTTTGTCAGGATTTATTTATATTCACTATTACTTGTATTCAAAATATGCCACTAAAAGTATTTTAAGTGACAAATACATACACATTGGTATTTAAACAACAAATATTTATGTCTGGGTACACAATTGTTTTTTAATTGTGTAATGTTGAGTCAGTCAACGAAAGTAGCTATTGAGTATACCTTGTGTCACTTAGTTTTATAAATGTTGGCAGGGATTAGTGGTGCTGCTGATGCACTGCATTCTGTCATGCAGAATTTATGATAATACAAAAATTGTCTTTTTTACTGAATGTATGTCTTTTGTAAAAATTGCAAAATTCGTGCAGAATGCATGTCTTTTATACTGTTTTTTTWAAAAAAATATTTATCACTCATTTCACATTTGCATCTGAAACTAATAACTGGGGAAAAAAAACAAATGTTTTTCAAGGCTAGGAGCTAATTAAGTAAGGATATTATAGTAATTAAATGATTAATCTATCCACAAATTTAAGATTATCTAAATTTGTATCCTCCAGTACCAAATACCACAAGTTTAAAAGACATTTTGAAGCTTTAGGTATGCATACAATAAACAGTTTTTACTGTATTAGAAAATAGTGGCATCTATTTCATTTAT